CCAGCTCGTGGCTCATCAGAGGATTCGTCGGGGACGTCTAGGAAGTCCATACGAGGGTCGTAGCCATGGTTAGCGAAGAAAGGCGACAAACCGGTAGATTCGGAGGCGTGGTTGTTAGCCGCGAACTCTGCCATAGGGAGCCAGAGGGACCAGTCGTCCTGTTGGTAGTTGACGAAGGCTCGCAGATATTGTTCCATGATAGCGTTGACGCGTTCTGTCTGTCCATCTGTTTGGGGATGGAATGCCGTGGACATCTTCCTCTCGACCTGGAGTCGTTCGCACACCGTTCTCCAGAAGTCGGCGGTGAACTGGGTACCTCTGTCAGAGGTGATCGTCCTAAGGAGGCCATGATGTTTCCAACTTGAAATATGTTGGAGATACATGTCCGCGAGGGTGGGGGCGTCAATGGTGGTACGGCATGCGACTAGGTGGCGCATCTTGGACATCCGGTCGACTACCACCAAGATAGCATCATTCCCTTGGCTCCATGGTAGGCCAGTGACAAAGTCCATCGAGATATGTTCCCACGGGCGGTCAGGTATCGGCAGGGGACGTAGGATGCCAAAGGGGGCGTGCCGGGAGGTACGACTCCGTTGACATATATGACAGTTGGCCACAAACCGTCCGATATCCCGTCTCATGCCCGGCCAAACGTAACGCCGGGACATTAACTCGTGTGTTTTGGCGCGTCCTGGGTGTCCGGCGGAAGGCCGATCATGGGAGTCTTGTATCAACCGTAGGCGTAGTTCATCGTGTTGGGGGACGTAAATCCGATCCCGGTAGAGCAGCTTATCCCCATCGCGTTTGCATTCGGTCAGTGACAGGAGGCGGGAATGTCGTTCACCCTTGTCGAGGGCCCGGAGGACCTGGATTGGAACCACGTCAGTTTCATATGCCTCCTTCCAAAGTTTGTCAATAGGGGACGCTCCAGTAGGGAGCGTAATGTTCGCCAACAAACTCAGAGGCTGAGACTTTAGCACCACTTGGGTCCGGTGGTTCTTTCGTTCCTCCACCTCCTCAGGGGTCTCGTTCTTCATCCGGGTTAACGCGTCAGCTTTACCGTTGAGCTTTCCAGGCTGGTATTCGATATGGTAGTTAAACTGGGATAGGAACTCAGACCAATGGGCCTGTCGGTTGTTCAGTAGTCTCTTGGTGGTGAAGTGCTTGAGGTTGAGGTGATCGGTTAGGATGGTCACCTGTCTCCCCAAGAGGTAGCACCGCCATTCCTCGAAAGCCCTAACTACGGCCATGAGCTCCTTGTCGTAGATGTCATAGTTGCATTCCGCAGGACTGTGTTTTCGGGAATAGAAGGCAACTGGGTGGAGGCGTCCACTGTCGTCCTTTTGAGACATGACACCGGCGGAGACGAAGTCGGAGGCGTCTGTTTCGATGACCACCTCCTTGTGGAAATCGAAGTGTGCGAGGACAGGGGCCGTGGTGAAGACTTTCTTCAACCGGTCGAAGGCGCGTTGACATTCGGGGGTCCATACGAAGGGGCGGTTCTTTTTGGTAAGGGCGGTGAGGGGGCGTGCCAGACGGGAGAAGGCACGGATAAACCGGCGGTAGAAGTTACCAAAGCCTAGGAAGGCGCGGACCTCGCGTACACGGTCAGGGACGGGCCACCCTGTGACGGTTTCTACCTTGGCGTTGTCCATCCGGAGGCCCCCAGGGCTGATGATGAAGCCTAGGTACTCCACGTGGGTGACGTGGAACTCACACTTCTGTGGCTTGGCTTCTAGTTCGGCATCCTGCAGCGCTTTCAATACCCATCGTACATGTTCGACCTGTTCTTCCTCGTTCTTGCTGTAAACGAGGATGTCATCAAGGTAGGCCGTGCAGAACCTGTCCAGTCCCTGACGTAGGACCTTATTGATGAAGGCCTGGAAGGTGGCTGGGGCGTTGGTGAGACCGAAAGGCATGACATTGGAGTCAAAGAGTCCATATCGGGTGCGGAAGGCCGTTTTCCATCGATGCTTCTTGTCCACTAGGACTTGGTTATAGGCCCCACGGATGTCGATCTTGGAGTAGATTTTGGCCTCAGCGATGTTCATAAAGGTTTCGGTTAACAACGGGAGTGGTCCTCGGTCTTTGACCGTCCCTTTATTCAACCCTCGGTAGTCCACACATAGTCTCAACGTGCCGTCCTTTTTCTTGATGAACAATACGGGCGAGGCCGCAGAGGAGGTAGAGGGGCTAATGAAGCCTTTATCCAGGTTTTCGTCAATCCATCCTTTTAGAGCAGCTAGCTCGGGTGGGGCCAGGTTGTAGAGGGGGCCGAAGGGAGGGGTGAAGCCGGGCTTTAGGGGTATTTGGTGGTCGATCCCTGGTCGGCTAGGGGGCAACTGGGTTTGATTCTTTTCTAGGAACACAGGGAGGAAGTCGTGGTATTCCAGAGGGACTATTTCTTTGACCTCCTGTTGTTCCAACACGGTGTGGTCAAGGGCACGTTGGAGGGCATAGGCTTTGAGAAAATGAGGGATTTCATATTCGATCCCTTGGGTCCCAGTTACGTCTGGGGTGCAGTTCTTGAGGCAGTATTCGGATTCGAAGGTAACAGTGTTTGAGGCGAAGCGTATGGTGACATCATGCTGTTTTAGCCAGGGGATGCCAAGGGTAAGTGGGTAGCCACCAAGCTTGGTGACAAAGGCGAGGAGTGACTCCAGGTGGTCGTTTATTTTAAGGTCAAAGCGGGCGATATGGGTGATGGCCCCTGAGCTAATAGGCCTCCCATTGATGACAGAGAGGTGGACCGGTTCTTTGAGCAGGGAAAGGGGTAGGTGGTGACGGCTAGCGAAGTCTATGTCTAGGAAAGCATAACCAGTTGCTCCAGAGTCAATGAGGGCATGGGTTCGGATTGTGTGTTGGTTGTCTATGATGTCACAGGCGACTACCAAGTGGTTATCCTCAATTCCATTTTCCATTTCGTCCAGAGATAAACTAGAAATAACTAAACTAGGAGAAGACTTAACATGTCCCATGTCAGTGCCGATGGCTGCACATGGGACCACTAGTTTTCCGACTCTTCTTGGGCCAGGAGGGGCTCCTCAGGGGCGGGGGCGGTGTGGGTGCTGGCCCCGTGCATGGGGCGAGGCCCCTTGTTGGGGCAAGCACGCGCCATATGTCCATGGCCCCCACAGTAGAGGCAGAGGCCACAATTGATCCGGTCTTGCCTCTCAGCAGGGGTGAGCTTTCGACGACCTGCAGAGAGGTCCATGGGGCCAGAGGCGGTGCCAGTAGCTGTGGAGGCTAGTGGGGGAGTGGGAGCGGGGGTGCGCGGAGCAGCGGGGGTGGAGGTCCTCCAGGAGGACGAGGAGGAGCCTTTCTTTTTGGCGGCACGGGCACGGACATTGTTGTCCAACTGCTTGAGGACGGAGAGGTAGTCGTTGAAGGGTTCGGGAACGGGGAAGACGTGTACCAAGGCGTCTTTCAGTTCTGTGCTGAGGCCCTGGTAAAGGGAGGTACGCTTGGCGGCATCGTTCCAGAGGGTATCAACAGCGAGGCGTTGGAAGTCGGCAAGGTATTCCACGAAGGGGCGGTTCTTTTGTTGGAGGCTCCTCAGAGCACGTTCTGCGGTCTGGACCCTATTAGGGTCCCCAAAGGCTTGTTCTAACTCGGCAAAAAGGGCATCCATGTTTTCGAAGTCGATGCGGTCAGTCAATACCCGGTGTTGGATCTGGAGGTAAGCGCGTCCCCGAAGTAGGCCAAGGGCGTAGCCGAGGCAGTGTTGTTCACTGGTAAACTGGTGGGCGTCACCCTGGAGTTTCATCTGTAGCTGGGTGACGAAGGGGCGGAGCTTTTCGGTGGTACCATCGAATTGCTCGGGGTCAGGGATCGAGACTTGTTTGTTGCCGCCAGCGGGGGCTGTGGCACCGGGGGCGGGCATGAGGGCGAGGGCGGTGTTCAGGGACGTGATGGTGGCGTTGGCCTGAGTGAGGCTGGCTTCCACTATGAGGAGACGGGCTTCCAAGCCCTGGTACTCGGTTCGGGCGTCGTCCCGTTCTTGGGTCAAGATGTTGCAGTGTTGTTGTAGCTGCTGGTATTGGGGGGTCTGTTCGGGGGGGGCGGGAGTGGCGTGACGAGGGGGAGGAGCAGGTGCATTCAGAATTTGACGAGCCAAGTTTCTGGCGAGGTTGAACTGGGCCTGGAGCTGGTCATGGTCTAGGCTTTGGGCATGGTCATCCCCCAGATTCGCGAGTGTATGAAGGGGACCATTGATGTTATCAGGGAGGTGGGACGTGGCCATGGCGTGGTACGGGTTGGGTCCTGGTAGACGCAATCTTGTGTAACGGACAAGGTCTGAGGGTCGGGTAGCCCAAGGCACACCACTATAGAAGCGAGCAAGAGTCTGGAGACGAGGTCTAGGGACAGGCGTACAACTGAAGCGAGTTGTACAAGGCTCGAGGGGTCAGGGGTTCAGGGTCAGGGTTCAGGGGGGTCAGGAGGACGCGAAGTAGAACAGAGTGTAATTCCTAGGTACAGGTGTCCAAAGGAGATTACCAGATTGCGTGAAGAACATAAAATATAAGGGGGCACACCCCCTTATATAGCTAGGAAATCCCCCATGATCAGTAATACAAAAGAAAGTTCTCGGCGTGGCGTGTAGCCGCGATCCTTCCGTCAGGTTCCACCAGTCTCCGTCGCGTGGCAACCTATCCCAATCGTAAAACCAAAGAAATCCTACTACGCAACCCAGAAAACCACCACCAATATATGTAACCAAAACTCCAATGCGCCTTTCCTATATCGGGCCAGGTGGCCGTGACACTAGCCTGAAGATGGGTACAATGAAAGAAAATACAGCCAGAAAAACAACACATCGAAGGGTGCTATTTATCAACACAACTAGTTAATATTGCCGTTTTTGATGGGCTTTTATTTGCATCGTCTCTGTTGCGATCCTACCAGGCCTACGGGAAATGTAATGATAGAACAGCTGATATTATGAAATCGTCAACAACAGAACCTCTTCAAGATCAAAACAGCGGTCTTTATGAAACCACTTTCAGCCTAGCGGCTATCTCCAACTTGAATCTCTCTTGTGTATAAGGACCAGCATGGATCTCACCCACAATGTCAGTCCCTGGGGGGAAGTCGTGCTCGAAGATCGGTTCACCCGCTCCCCTGACATTCGCGAGGATGGATTGGCGGAAATGCCACCTTAGAAGCTGATCGGACACACGGTAGGGGTCAGCTGGGTTTCGGCATGCAGGATCAAGGATTCTGCCATCGTAGCCATCTATATCGAGGTCGAGCACGATAACCTTATAACCGTCGTCCGGGTTAATAGAAATAAGGTATGCATCAAACAATTGACGGAGATGGGACCGTAGAAGAAACCCATTTTGAGGCAAGCCGATCTTGGAGGATTCGGTAGCGTCATCCTTGTGCACCATCCATCGTCCATAATTGTTCTGAATCCAAAGTGGTTCATGTTCAGGAGGGAAGATATGGGTAGCTTCGAACGTGGTCCAGTTATTGGACCGGATCGAGGTTTCGGGAATTGAAATTCTGGAAATAACACATTTCCGGTCGCGGTTCCAGACAATATTAAGGAAACTACTATCTCTGCCAGTGACTTCAGGAGCAATCAACCTGGGTGTCCAAGGCTCATCGCTAACTTGGATAGCGGCTATTAGAATTAGAAACTTGGTCGCCGGGTGGGTGGGGGGGATAGAGCACATACCATCGCAGTAAATATGGTAGACTCCTGTTTGGAGAGGCGTCTCTATTCTGGATAGGATGTGGCTCGACATCCTCTCTTGAACACGTATGGGACTCGCCCCAGTGAGAAGCAAGATTCCAAGAATGTCAAGAAAGTTTGCCTCAGTTATGGACCCATTCTGGACCAGTCCTCCAAGGGCCACATCTGGATGGGTAGGATTATAAAACGTGACATTGCGAGTGAGTGAGCGGTTTGTCGCCATTGTTGGTATTCGCAGTTGTTGTAAATATAATTGTTGGAGTGACTTGAGAACTGGTAAAGGCAAGAAGTCGAGAAGTCTATGTGGCGTGTATTGCTAGAGAGAGACCTGCGGGAATAGGCGTAGCAGGGGTGATGAGAAAGGGGTTTTCGGAGCTGCGGGAAAGACCGAAGTGTGATCTCACAATTTTCATTGTTTGACTGAAGTCGCAATGGCACTGATGACATTACCTGTGGCGGCTACTGTTAGACCGCGTGAGGGCTCAGCAAGGGGACACCCTTAGTGAGGCATGGTACGGCTTGGCTTCCTACTCGTACTGTCATTGAACACTGCCTGCAATCGCTACCAAATCTTGCCAAGCCTCACTGAGAGTGTCGCCTCCCTGAACCCTCCCGCGGTCTATCCGGCATCCCTATTTGCCTATTATACAAATGAAATTAACCATTGACCACATGTCAATACGTAGAGTAGACCAGTGGGGGGGCCAACGAAGATGGGGACCCATGACCAATGTCATGCACCAAAGGTTTCTTCGCAAATAGTGATCTTGTCACTCTCTTTGTTGCTCCTAGTTAGAAATAAATACACCGGTATCTCTTCATTTGCCGTATATACTTCACACACACTACAACCAGAAAGCCAACCAAACCTTTTCTCTCATCAGACCCACGTGACGAATATATCTATCGGCCGCACTCGTATGTCCATCTGCTGCCTAAGCAGAGCTATCATAGAAGTAGTCACCTCATCTGTCATGGGTTTGCCACTTTGGTAGTTCTAGGAGCTTGCGCGGAGTTTAGGCACATAGATAAGTCAGGGTAGGGTGTTTATTTGTTTCCCCTTACCAGTGTGCCAACAAACATAACTAAACTATTAAGCATCCTTTCTGTTACCTCATCCGGCAAAAAAAGCAACACCCTATCAAGATAGCAAAGCTATGTGCAATCCTTTTCGCTCCCTTACCTACCAATCTAGCAACAACAATAGTCGAGCAACAAGAGCTAGCCTAGAAATAAGTATAAAGAAAGAAAGGAAACAAGAGTTAACTACCCGGAATGCGGTTTTTAATAGCCCAGCTGGTGGGTATTTGCCTTGCGAGTGGTGTATCCTTATTTTGGGGGGGTCTTTGTTGGAGTCCGACCAGGCCTCCGAAAAACCTAAGCGTTGCCCGGCTGGGGTCATTAAACCCACAGCTCTATAATCTCTCTTAGGTCCAAACGGTTGCCTTTGGGCAACCGCTTGCAATGTAGTAGCTAACTCCAACTCGCAGCTCTCTTCTTCATTGGGTCCGGCAAGAACCTCACGCAGATTATCCGTTTCTGGAGGGAGGTCATACTCGAAGATCGGCTCACCTGCTCCCTGTTGGCTGATGGTGTGATAGTATCATACTGGAGGTTACCCTCGCAGTGATGAGGGTACTGGGTTAGAGGCATGTAGGGTATGGGTGAAGTGTGACAGTTATGTTTTTCTACCATAAGTGGTTTCCCCTTGTAGCTAGTAAACACATGAACGTTCCTTGCTTCCTTCACACCTCCACGCCTACGCTCCCCTGATATTCGCAAGGATGGATTGGCGGAAATGCCACATTAGAAGATGATCGGACACTCGGTGGGGATCGTCTGGGTTTCGGCATGCAGGATCAAGAATTCTGCCATCGTAGCCATCAGCATCTTCGCTAAAGACAACTGTCTTGTAGCCGTCCTTTGGGTTAACGGATATGAGGTATTGATCGAACATTTTATGCACGTGTGGGCGGAGAAGGAATCCGTTTTGGCGTGAGTTGATCTTTGAGGATCCAGCTGCATTGTGCATGTCCGTGATCCATCGTCCATAATTGTGGTTAACCCAAAGAGTTTCCTGATGCAGAGGGAAGATACGGGCCGCCTCAAAGCTTGTCCAGTTGTTGGACTGGAAAAAGCTTTCGGGCATAGGAGTTACGGAAATAACACACCCCCGGTCACGATGACGAATATCACGACGGAAATAATATTCTCGACTAGAGATTTTATGAGAAATTATCCTGTGCATCCAAGCCTCATTGCTAACTTGGATGGTAGCTAGGAAAATCAGCGATTGAGCTAAGGAGAAAATGGGGAGAATATAGCACATACCATTGCAATGAATATCGTACACTCCCACTTGGAGAGGCACCCCAGTTCTGGATACGGCGTGGCTCGACATCCTCTCTTGAACACTTATCGTGCTTCCCTCAACGACAGGTAAGATTTCCAGAATATCTAGAAAGTTTACTTCAGTTATCGACCCATTCTGCACAAGTTCTCCTAGAACCTCGTCAGGTTTGGTAGCGTCATAAAAAGTGACATTGCGTGGCACAGAGCGATTTATCGACATCGTTTATACCGGTAATTTTCTTAAACCTAGTCGTGGTAGTAACAGGAGAACAAGTCTTGTAGATAAGAGGTTCCGGTATGTGTTGCTGATCTCTTAGAAGAGATATAGGAGGGGTGGTGAGATAAAATTTGTAGGGGCAGAAGAGGAATTGGCGAATGGTCTGGCAAACTCACTTGCAAGAAGTGGTTGGCAATAATAATCTACCCACTTTTACTAGCCGCATATCCCCTATTTTCTAGACAACGAAATTTGCCGACAATCATGTGTTTATGGAAATGGGCGATTACGTGTGATCATATCAGTCTGATGAATAAAATCACTGCAAACAGATATTGCACTGAGAGGTTAATATAATGTATTTGGGAACACCCCAAACAAAACACATATTTGATCAACCAGCCGATAAGGTAAGGAGAACAGTAGGGCAGCAAGAAGTATGCATAAGTCTGAGTTTTTCTTCCGGTTAACTATGGTCTGTCAACTGGGCTCGGGTGTCAGGCGAATGTTACTCTCAGAATTTCTATGTACTGGGCAATTCTGACCTTGCTACACCTTTTCCCACCGGTACGGTGCAAGTAGGGGTATAGTGGTATGGTATGTACAAGTATTTGCGACATTGCTTTCACCCCTGCATACCTTGTCTTTGCCCCGCTTCCGGGGGTGTCGCTGACCGACACAAGTCAATAACTCCTACTCTACAATACTGCGCATAGTAGAGACCAGAGGATGTCTTAGTATGCCACTCCTGGTGTTCCCCGCTCCCGCAATACTGTGAGTTCGTGAATGTGGAATAACTATACTGTTACTGATGATCAGTCTCGACTGCTAGTCTGGCTATTACCTGTAGCCTAAGCTATGGCATTTCGACATCGAGGCAGTGTTCGCAAGGGCCCGGGGGCTCTGGAGGTCCCATGGGGAGACTGCCAAGAAGACTGGACCAGTGTTCCCAACGGTCCGAGGCCCCCCAGAGGGCCCTGCGGCGGGACTGCCAAGAGCCCTAGACGAGCTGGGACAGCAGGATGCGGTACGTCCCGGTCTTGGAAGCCTAAGGACGGCCGTCATTGTCAGGGACGGCAGGCACTGGGATGTAAGACACATTTACCGGTATATGGGGCACTCCCAGGGCCCATGGATGACTGCGGGGGACTAGTGGACTGCGGCGGACTATGGGGGACTGCGGCGGACTGCGGCCCCAGTGAAATCGCCTAGGCGATGACATTAGTGAAGCAGCTGAGGGTCTTAAATCTTGGGCCCATTCTGGTATTATTTATGGTGGGATCAATTCAGATGCGAATCGGATGAAAAGTACTCTGAGAGCTCTGGAACTTGACTCCTTAGTACTTCGCTCTTCCTTCTTCCGATACCTCAGCTTCCCATCCAAAACTCGAGCGTCTCATTGGCTGAACCTTACGCCCGGCATTGCCCCCCTACGATGAACGGGGAGACCGAAATTCCCCCGGAACTTGCACTCTTCCGTAGTACAGCCACCATCTGCATCAGGGGCCCAAGGCTATCTACTAGTCCGAATGAATGGAACTTCTGAGGACTAAGTCTGTCTGTCTTTGAGAAGTTTTTCCCATACATGTTCTTGGGAGGGTTTCTAGTACTTGTATCGCAATTCAATCCAATCGCTAAATGATAGATACACAGTCGTGGTATTAATACGTTTACAACTTGAGCTTATTTTTGCTAGACCATGTGAGTCATATCTTGGCCGTTCTTGCAGAGCTTACTATACCCTTCGCCATCCTCATCTGCCCAATCTGTCTTGCCTCGTCAGTGACACCAAGCATCGCGACAGCCCCGGACATACCTAGCGGAGCCATATGAAAGTGGTTATTCCATAGGCAGCTCCTCCTCCGTCGTGCCTGAGCGTGACCCCGGGAAAGTTCAACAGGATCCAGTCCAAACAGTGAGCAGTTCAGTTAGGTGCCGGGCCACTAGATATGAGGACACTTTGTCAGTTATGGATAGATGGTGATAGCTCTGGTGTGGGTATTATTGACTACGCTATGACGCTACACTATTGCAAGCCTGAGTGGAATCATTTCAGAAAACTTTGGTGCAATAGTAGAATGCATCTGCATTGAGTGATCTATAGTGACTGCATAATGTGTGAGACTTACTTCGAGGGGATCGAGTGGCGGGGTTGCCATTGATAAGCACGTTAGGGATATATTTTTGTGATAAGGGTGTAGGAGTCAATCGGGGATTTGAGTACCTCCTTCATGAGAAATGGTCTGAACTGTTTGACTCCATTATGCAAGAATCCGGAGTCTAGGGGGATGGCAATACCCATCAGAGGAAGTGTAATGAGACAGCGTTGGAGTTTGGCTGGCAAGATGAATATATTTAGTTTATACTCAAAGGAGCTTGTGCATTACGCCACACTTTCTTTTGGCCTCTTGGCATGAAAACGGGTTGCGCGAGATTGTGCGGTACATGGTCATTTCCTTTCAACAGAGTACGGGTTCTTGCACCGGGGGATGACCTTTGGGTGTTTGCAATTTTCAGTGGCTTTCAGCTCACCAACCTTGCACGGTATGGGCGTTGGCCATTCTAATTCTTGTGGGCACGGCAGAGCATAATTAATAAAGAAAAAAAATAAAAATAAAAAAAATAGAAAGCTATCCCGCCTGTCCTCCCCATCC